ATTCCAAACTTTAGAGACATACTATATTCTGTACATAAAGCATCCTGAGAATACAACTTTGTAGACACCTAAGAAAGAATGGATAGAGGGAGAATTAATATGTTCATTTTTTCTATGTATTTATCACATGATTATCAACCATAGAATGATAGATAATAATCTAGTCCAGTGGATGGTTCTCAATGGCTACTAAAGTGGAAATCTAGTAGTTCTTATTACATATGCTCGTCACACCTCAAATGAGTAGATCATCTTATGGTAGATACTAACCCAAATGCTATCGCAAGGGTGCCAATGGTTGAAATTTGGTGATTAGAACATAGTAGAGGCAACAAAAAAATAAATTGTTCATATGCAATAAATTTCTATTTGAGAGAAAGAAAGTCAAATTCTAATTATTCAAGTCTTATTTATAAATTTTAGAATAATTTAATTATATTGACTCTCTTTTCTTCACTTAAGACAATTTACAAAGTGATGTTTAAAGGGTGCTAGCTTGTGTAGATTGGATGTACTCTTTCATGCACATATAAAGATCTATGAATCACTTGGTGATCAAATACAAGATCCTAGGTGACTACAATTTTTTGAATCACTTGCATAAAAAAAATTCCATTGAGTTTCAAGTGGTCTAAGCAATAAGAAGCCAATACAAAATAAATAGTCTATACTTGAACGACCCATGCATCCATAAGTAGATGATCACATTTTGGCATAGATTTCAAGTAAATCTATTATTTTTTATAAGCTTAAATGCTTCTTTAGATAATACAAGGAGATATATATTTACAAGATTGAAGAAAACTGGTCTTAACAAGCTAATCTCAAAACTTGGCTTCAACAAATCCAAGAATCCTTCTAATATAACCTTGATTGCTTCCATATACAAAATCTCTTCTTTGAATTATTGGACACAACATCTACATTTGAGACTACTCAAGTTAAGGATTAGGAGCCTTGATCTAGGCTATAGTAGAAAGAAAAAAGGATGTTGGCACCCTTGATTTTTATAAGGCAATGAAGTACCATGCCTCGCTTCCCTTCTTTTATCTCTACTTTTTTCAAAACTAAAAAATGAAGATGGATTAATGTAACATCATCAAGAATAATTGAAAGATATTTATTATAAATTTTATAGGAACCTTTACTTAAGGCATCTTTGTAATTCGTACATCACCACAACTTAAAATAAAGTATTATAATGATCCAACCTTACATTATTCTAACAATTTACTCCAATCTCTAATAACTATTCATATTCTCCAAACTATTACAAGCATTAGAAGAGATAAAAAATAAAAAATCTCTCAATCAAGACAATACTATCAAATAATTCTTTAAATACCTTTGGCCAACTATTGGACCAAAATTTCTTTAGATAATAAATGAATTTCTTCTTTAAGGTTGCTTTTCCTAGAAGATCATTTATTATTTTGCTTTATATAAATGAAGGGAGAAGCTCACTCAATAATTAGTACCCTATTATCCTCTTAAATATCTTGTACAAGTTGGTAATCAAAGCTCTCTAATTAAAATTACAACTAGTACTTATAGAATTAGTGAGTCCAAACTAGTTGGTTTTCTTTTTGAGATAATTTATTTTAGATAATATATTTTTTATGTATGAAACCATATTTAATGTCAAGTGGTCCAATCAATCCTTCAAGTTCTTGAAATTGGACTTCTCCAAAACATATGATAAGGTAGACTTATTATTTTTCTTTCAAATCATTGAGAAGCTTAGTTTCTTACTTCAAATTCCTTACAATCATCTTTCTCCTCTTCACAGATGCAATAACAAGGGTGTCAATTAACAACCACCTCACTTATCTATTTCTTATCAAGTAAGGTATCTAGCAAGGATGCTTGTTGGTATTCTAATTGTTTCTATTAGTAAAGAAAATTTTCAATCAGTGTATGAAGAAAATGATTACTATGAGATGGGTTTGAAGGATTATTCTTCTTAGGTTGTCAAAGCTTCAAAATTTGATATTATTTGCTAATGATATGTTGCAAACTCTATATAGTGAAGAAAATAAAATAAAATAAGCCATAGCCACTCTAAACATATTTAATACTAAATTTGGTCTTTATATAAATTAGACAAAGTTTATAGCATATCAATAGAATCTTAGCTTGGAACCATGCCATGAGTAGCTAGATATGATTGAATAGTAATAAACATAAGAGGATGAAGCTTTAAAACTACTCTGCACTCCATTTGGTCTCTTCTTAGCAACACTATAGGTTGATCAATTCTTCATACATTGCATTAAATTCAAAGTCATGTATTAGGTTACAATTCTCTTTTATTCTATTAATATATCAATTATCTTAAATGACATATTTCTCTCAATTACTCTATATTTTTTATCCATCTTAAGAGGGTCTAAAGCTGACATTTGTAAAGTCATTGGCTTAGCTAAGAATCTTATGTGAGATAAAACTATTCAACCATCTTGCACCTAAATGGCATAGAAGACTTGTTGTAAAAATAAGAAATAAAAAAATGGATAGATTCAACTTCATCAATTTGGAAGAGGTAGTCACTACCTTTATGTACAAGTCGGTGATCACTACATATAAACTAAAGGAGTTTAATTTCAAAATTTTTATTCATAAGTGACTAGTCAGTTTTCAAGCCTATGCATTGGAAAAATGGAGTGCATCATTGCAATCATTCAGGCCCCTTAATCACAAAGCTTCTAAAAGATTCAAACTATGGCATTGGATTGTCTAGGTATGAAAGACCATAATTAAAATAACCACTATACTTTCACCTAATTTTCTCAAAGAATAGCTCAATTTATTGTTTTGGTGGTATCCAAATATACAAACTATAAGCCTAATTTTTTCAAAGGAAAGAATAATGGTCTTGTTCAATAGTAGCTTTTAGTTGTTTGGCCATACTTAATACTTGGCAAAATCAAGACTTCTAATTAGAAGAGAGGTCCATTAATATTTCAGCTTCATGTTAGCAATAGTTTTAGAATAGAATCAAATTTGTATCCAAATAAGCCAAGAGGACAATTGATTGATCATCCAAGAGTCTTTCCAATGGCAATCTTGAGACTAATATGACATCTATTGGCATGAAAACTTTGATCTACTAATGGTAATGTATTGCAAAGAAATAATTTTAGAGTTATGTCTATAGTACCAATGAATAGATCATCATTCTCTCTTTCTAATAAAACATGTTTGAGGTGATGCCCACATTTAGAACACTTTCCACATCTCTTCATCCCTCTTCTTCTTCCTTCTACCACTCATGTAATTAGAGGCCTAATTCAAAAGAATAGAATTCAATACATCATTCAAAGATCATAACAATGTTCTATCTTGCTTTTCTATGATCAAATTAGTAAATTCTAATAGGACCCATATTACATCCAATGGATATATTAGATGGAATTTATATAATATACTACCCAGTTAGGAAGACACCTCTTTTGTAAATGCCATCCACCTCTCATTCTAGCAAGAGACAAACGACAATCACTACTCTCGATGAACTTCAAATTTAAGTGAAATATTGTATAGAACCATAAGTGATCACAAAAAGAAGCAAGCCTCTTATAGCAACTTTAGTACAAGGCAATGGTAGTAAATTAGTCACAAAGATGCATTGTAGGATAAGTAGATTTATTATACCTCATATATATCAAAAGAGTAGAAGAAACCATTGTGTACCATTTTTGGGAATGCCCAATTTGTCAACATACATAGAAATATGTTAGTATTATATTTAGGCAATTAGTTCAGCTCCATGGTATAGTATCTTGGCCCTTGCTAGATTAAAAACAATCATTGTTCATCCACTACATTCCAAGATGCTTCCATCGAGTGGATAAATTTTAGTTATTACTATATGGTATAATGCTTTTGAACCTTAAGGGTAATAAAAAATGATAGAGTTTTTAACATAGAGATGTGGAGCCATGTAATATTAGAGCATACTATTTGACAAGGCCTTTGCAAATATGATAGAATTGCTTAGCATGAGACCTTGCAAAAATACAATAAAAATCTTAAATTGTTGCTTGAAGCACTTACTAACTTTGATAGGAGATGGAATAATTACAAGTCTTTATGTACCAAAACAATTTTTCAAGTAAATTAGGCTCACATTAGTCCGACCAAGTAGTGGCAACTTTATAATACTATAATAGATATGGTAGATCTCTTTTCTCCTATGCTCTATTAGTATTGATATAAGTAATCTATAGAATATAATTGAACAAAGTTTGATTTGTGCCAAAAACTAAAATAAAATAAAATGAAATAAACTTCATTTGCTGACTTTGGTTGTTGCAAAATAAGTAACAGATAAACTTATGGATAAGATACTACTTAATAGTACAAATGCACAAAAAGACACCTCTTAGTAGTATATAAAACTCCCAAACGTTGTACGACAAAGCTATCAAGACATTAGTTCATATCTTGAAAATGGACATTCACGTGTAGACTAACTCGGAACTTACAAAACAATAAGAAAAGGCAATATCATCTCACCTCTCCAACGTCGATATCTCGACAGACCAAAGCCAAGCCAGCAACTACAATCATAAGTAACGACACCAAATATGAAGATCTTCAACTGGCGACTAAGAATTCGGGCAAAAATTCAAATCGACGAACGAGCAAATTAGCTAATTTCAGCAAATATTCTGAATTAGGGTGACATGCTCAACGTGCCAGTACAAAGATATCGTTCACTCACGAGTCACACTTGCCCGTTAGTTCATGAGTGAATATGGACTGCACTCACCCGTTACCTATATATTACAACGACGAGTGATAACTTCAACATGGAGGTAGACAGATCAAATTTGACAGGTCTTTAAGCAAAGAGTTTGTTCACTGCATGCCATTTAAATTTTTCTGAGAATTCTTCAATCAATTCCTTTGAATAAAATATTTGTATTTACCAACAACAAAAGTTAAGGACTTAATAAAAGTTAGTTCGGATGAAAAGTAAGTTAAGTATTTGTAAATGAACGAAAAAAATCGGAAAAATCGATATACATACATAAAAATATCGGAACTCCCAAGCAAAAAGGTCTGAAAGGGGAGAAACCAACAGTTGTTTTTCAGCCCCTCTTGGACTATCAACAGCGATCAATCACCAGTTCCCAGGCAGGGGCTTCATGTAACACAAGATCATACTGACGTAGGCCAGTTGAAACTGGTCATTGTCGCTAAAAGCATTCTCGCCACAACTTCCTCATGCTCCAAGTTGTCGGGTCCTCCAATACTCCTTTCAACCCGTCATTGTCACTACCGCAGCGCTTCCCATTCTCCAGCAGATCTTCGCAACTTGTTCCATTATGTAGTTGTCTATTCATTTACCAAAAAGATACTAATAGCTTTATAGCCCCTAACCTACTAATTGGACAAATACCTTAAAACATCTCCCATGGATCTTGGAGAGGGTTCAAGTGCATGAAGATACAACTTGATACGGTCACAGCTTTCTAGGAATCTTGCGTCATCTTTGCTAACCAAAAGAAAATTTCGAAAAATGAACCACATCAAGGAAAGTCAATCAAAATATACCCATAAAAAGGGTGGGCGTTATGAATATGTACTGGCACGAAAAGCCTCAATTTCTTAAACCTGGTCCACACCCTAAACAAGGTCTAGAACATCCTGACACAACACCTACCTGTGCTGTTGAAGATCGCTATACCGACTTCAGTGACATCCTAAATCGCAACCAGAGCCCTGATGCTAGAGAACGCAAGCAAAGCACAATTAAGGTGCTGACATATCTACAAACTTGAAGTGAATGCTTTCCAAATTAGCAGAATACGTCGTTACACATCAACCAAAACCGACAAACCATCAGTGCAGCAAGGGAAGCTAAATCTGAACCAGGAAAATCAAAATTAACTCAAAACTAACCGCTCAAAACGTGCAACAATAACGACATTTCAGAACACAACTAGGTAGAGGTCGGCAGTGTGGTATAAAATTCCGCCCTATCACACCCGCTGACACAGACAAGGCCTCACAAGTACACCTCTGATGAGCCAGCAGCAACGACATACATGATGACACTTCTTTCAGACCCCAGGTACATTTCAACTATAACTCTCCAACCAACGAAAGGCTTATATTCTCTCCTATGGAATTGAGAGCATAAAGTACAACAGAGCATATTTTTAGGTTAAAAACAACACACAAATAAAGTAAGACTGCTTAACTACTACACCTTGAAAAATGCACCGTACACAACCAACTCCGCCATCAGACATGAGCGAGATGTTATAAACTTTAAAAAATTTGAATGTCCATAAAATGATCCAAAGTAGATGTACATGACCCAACTAAAGAAAACATGATCCTCACTACTGGCTCTTGCAAACACCTACACAACTAATGCACCCACTAGAATCCACAAAATCAATGCTTCAAGCCCTTCGAAGCTCAATAATCACACCTCACACTAACAAAATTACAGAAAAACCCTCAACATCCAAACTCCCTAAATGACATGACAGAAGCAACTCCGCTTCCAAATCCGCACCCAACCTTCCGAGATGAGATCCATTCGACCTGCCCAAATACGCACGCTAGAAATAAATGACGCCTCAGGGAGCGAAAAAAATCAACAGACTCAGCAGAACAGAAAAGAAGAACAAGAAGAAGAAGAAGAAGAAGAAGAAGAAGAAGAAGAAGAAGAAGAATAAAAAAAAAAAAAAAAAAAACCTAAAAAGAAGTTGAACGTCATAAAACAACATCTCAAAAAGCTACCTGAACTGCTAACACTCAACCTCAAAGAGTAAACCCCCACTAGAAAGTTGAAGGCCAAGCCGTCAACCAAACACCACGTTCACATCCAAAAAATGCAATGAAAATTGCAATAGAAGCCTAAGCTTACAGTCCCCGACCAAGAAAACATCGTCATGAATTCTAGAAAAATCATGCTGAAGACGTACAGGAACACGCATATCATGATGCTGAATAATCTTAGGGTCTCTGGAATGTCCACAGCACCCGCACTTCCTCTCAATCGTCTTCCACAACCGCACCACCCACTTATTCCCACCACCCCCACCCCATCCACGATCATACCTGCCTTCTCCAGACTTCTGTCGCCTGTACACTCTGCATGCTTCGCACAATCGAAGTCGCCAACCTAAGGAGCTTCGTCACGCCAATCCTCACGTTGCATGTCTCACGCTAACGCTTGCTGTTCTGCGCGCCACAAACCCCTTTCAAACCCGCATCCACCACCTCACCACCACCTCATTCCCAAACACAGCAACCCAACCATAAACCACTGACCCCAACTGTCCGAAAACCACATCCTCTCCAACCCCACCCACGTACCTTCCACACACAGACAAGCGCTGTGAACTATTTACAGGTTCCTTCGCCATGCTCACCCGCCTCGCCCTCCGTCCGGA